GCAAGCGCAGCTCGTATGAAAACTGTGGTAATATTTTTATACTGTACCTCCTTGTTGAAGTAAAGGTTAGGGGTTATCAAAATACCTCAACTGTATATACAAAAAAAGAGAGGAAAAGTTAAGTATTCACATGAAAAATCCAAGGGAACTGTATTATTTATTTTTGCATTTCCTATGATTAATGATGCACCAGTGCATACTTGGAAACTGAAGTCAAAGCAGAGGTAACACCTCAAATTCCTTTATAAATTGGACAAATGTCAAATCCGGTAGGTTGTGTTACCAAGCCTACCAAAATATTAAAAGATTCTGCAACTTTGCCTTAATATACTACAGTATTACTGAAATTCTCACTTGTATTATGCTTTCTTGAGAGTTAATCTAGTAATGCCCCTAAAAGCCATTTTAATCAGAATACATAATACTTGTTTTCTTCAGTGGGACTCACTTTGTTTTAAAAATAAACTCCTGTGTAGGGTTACTCCAAAATAAGCCTGTGCGTAATATGGCTTACTTACAAGTAAGTGCATGTAACACAAAAAGCCCGATTACATTTAGCATGCCCATCGCTATACTTTGCATGAAATAATAAAACATGTGAATGATACTTCATGGCTTAAAGCATCCACCTGGATGTTTCCCCTATGGCAACGAAGAAGAGACCTGAAGGAATAACATGAAAACAGAGCGACAGATTGCTGAGATCCAACTTTACAGGCACAAAGTATCTTGCTGTCTCTCCCTTTCCAACTATCTCTGTCAAGCAACAGGAAGTAAAAGCCACAAATAGCAATTCTGCTATAGATATCCCATAAATTTATATTCTGAGTATTGCAGTCGATGAAATAGGTTGCAAAAACTGACGGAACATCTCCTATTAATGCAGGATTACCGGAAACTTCTCATTTAGTATGTCCCAGAGTGCAAGAACTTGGAAATAAAGTTGTCCAATATTACACATTTAGAATGCTAAATTCTTTTGCATTTTAAGGTTGCTGCTTCATGTTTTGTGGAAATCCAACTTTCCCAGGACAACTAAAAATGCAGCAAATAATTCTGTTTATATTTAAGCATACATTTCCATTTTTCTCAAGAGAAACTGTTTTAACAATAGATGCAAATTAGGTTTACAAGGCTGTGCCCCATGCTGCAATTCCGTGGAAGCTTCCTTGGAAGTTTCACTGAACAAGGTAGGGCTTACTTTCAATTAAATATGCATATGATTGGAGGTTTGGTCATAAAGACAAATTAGGAAATTCAAT